GCATCTGTCTGTGTCTGGCTTATTTCACTTATCCTCCAGGTTCATCTATGTTGTCACAAATGACAGGGTTTCCTTCTTTTTAAAGGCTGAACAGTATTCCACTGTTATATGTTATATGTACCATATTTTCTTTCTCCATTCATCCATTGTTGGACACTTAGGCTGTTTCCCTATCTTGGCCATTATGAATATTGCTGCAATGAACATGGAGATGCAGATATCTCTTTCACATACTGATTTCATTTCCTATGGATATACACCCAGTAGTGGGATTGCTAGATCATATGGTAATTCCATTTCTAATTTTTTTAGGAACTTCCATTCTGTTTTCCATAATAGCTGTGCTAATTTACATTTCCATGAATGGTGTGGGTTTCCTCTTCTCCATATCCTCCTGAACATGTTATTTTTCATCTTTTTGATAATAGCCATTCTAACAGATATGAGGTGATATCTCACTGTGGTTTTAATTTGCATTTCCCTGACGATTACTGATATTCATCATGTTTTCCTCATATATCTATTGGCCACTTATATGTCTTCTTTTGAGAAACGTCTCTTCAGGGCCTTTGTCCATTTTTAAATCAGATGTTTTCTTGCTGTTGAGCTCTCTATACATTTTTTATATCAACCTCTTAGGGGATGTATAGTTTACATATATTTTCTCCTGTTCTATAGGTTGTTTCTTTACTGTACTGATTGTTTCCTTTGCTGTTTAGTTTGATATAATCCCATTTGTCTATGTTTGCTTTTGTTGTGCTTTTGGGGTCATATCCAAAAATAATAAAACGCCCTGACCAACGTCATGAAACTTTTCTCTTTTTGTTTTTGTTTTAGTAGTTCTACAGTTTCAGGTCTTGCTGCAAGTCTTTAGTCTTTTTCAGTTGATTTTGTATACAGTATAAAGTTCTAATTTCATTCTTTAGCATGTGGATATTCAGGTTTTCCAGCACCATTTATTGAAGAGACTGTCCTTTCCCCATTGTGAGTTCCTGGCACCTTTGTCAAAAACCAATTAATTATAAATGCATGGATTTATTTCTGAGTTCTCTATTTGTTCCATTGGTCTATGTATTTGTTTTTATGCTTGGACTTTGGCTTTAAAAAACTCATACCTTTAGTTATTTAATAAAAATCAATGGTTAACTATCTGCAGTTTGTAACTCAACTTGTATTTGTGTAAGACACATTTGTATTACTACCTTTGCTACATACAATGTAAAAGAAGGCTCAGTTCTCGGCCGGGTCCAGTGCCTCATGCCTGTAATCCCAGCAGTTTGGGAGGCCGAAGTGGGTGGATCACTTGAGGGCAGGAGTTTGAGACCAGCCTATCCAACATGGTGAAACCCTATCTCTACTAAAAATACAAAATTAAGCCGGCTGTGGTAGTGGGTGCCTGTAATCTCAGCTACTGGGAAGGCTGAGGCACGAGAATCACTTGAACCCGGGAGGTGGAGGTTGCTGTGAGCTCAGACTGCACCACTGCACTTCAGACTGGGTGAGAGTAAGACTCCATATCAAAACAAAACAAAAAAAGAACAAAACCAAGAAAAGAAAAGGTTCAGTTTCTATACATCAAGCGAGTAGCGTGGGTATTCTCACTATGTATTGGTCCTGGTCTGCGAGGCAACCTTGCACTCTATTCTGCTCAGTTCAGCTCAGCTCAGGCCAGCCCAGTCCAGAGGATTTTATACAGTTCCACACTGCAGCCAGCAGAGGGAGCTCTAGCGCCCTAGAGTTGATTTTTTTTTTTTCCAAATTACCTGGCTGCCCTAAAAGTTTCTATGAAAGAACGGCAAAGGCATTTCTCCATAAATCAAAAAACCCTAGTACTATTTTCAGCTTAAACAGAATCCGTATTTGGAAACCAATAATGTTGAATGGCATTTTCAGGTCAGATTCCGGTCGTTCAGCTTCTGCATTTCAAGGCTGTGGTAAAAATGGTGGGGCACGGAAGTGTCTCAGAGTTGAATTAAAAATTTAAAGTTAAGTTCTCCAGCCATGTAATAATGAGGGAAAAGCAAAAAGATCTTAAGTTTTTTTATTTATTTTTTGATGATACAGGGTCTTACTATGTTCCCCAGGATAGAGTGCAGTGGTGAAAACATAGCTCACTGCAGTCTCAAATTTCTGAGCTCAAGTGCTCCTTCTGCCTCAGCCTCTCCAGCAGCTGGGACTACAGGTGCATGCCACCATGTCTGGTTAATTTTTAAATTTCTTTATAGAGATAGGGTCTTGTCATGTTGCCCAGGCTGGTCTCAAATTTCAGGCCTCAAGTGAGCCTCCTGCTTCAGCCTCCCAAAGTGCTGGGATTACAGGTGTGAGCCATGGCACCAGGGCTCTTAATTTTATTATGAATCAGGTGTCAGATTTTCCCTTAGAGATATCTGCCAACAAATCCAGTGCTGAGAATTTGCTGGAAGCCACCAAGGGACACTGTCACCTTCCACAGGG